CATTTTGGAGGTTATAAATTCAGAGTCACCATGTCGGAAGCAACTTGATGGCCGTTGACACACACACTCCCCCAGTTCATGTAGGTGGACTGAGAATCCACCCCTTCACTGCTACACCCATAACACTGTCTTGCCCAACACTGAGACAACAAGAAGAAAGCAACCCCATCCTTCTTCCTTCTCAGGTTCTTGGCTGAGAATTGCTGGTCATACTTGGGAACTATTACTGTGTTATCCGAAGTAGCACCAGTAACCCCGAGTACAATCATATTAATGAAATCACAACTTGTATGCAGGCTTTGTAAACCTTGTGCATGTTGCACGTCCCGCAACAATGAAGGGGAGGATGCGTGGGAGAATGAGGAAGTAGAATGGAGGTTAGCCCAACAGGCTACAGAGACACATGTAGAGGGGGGAAAGTGGCACAACAGCAGGGGATGCGGAGAGTGAGCACTGAGATACAGACAGAACAAGAAGTATGGTAAGCCACAAGGTTACCAAAGTCACCAAGTTGCTTGGGATGGTTGTCAATGGACTAGAAAAAAGCTTTGGCCTGGGATCTGTGCAGGGAAGGGGAAGCTGCCAGAGAAGCCAGGAGACAAGGCCAGTGTTTCCCCCTATACCCCCAGATGCCCATTTGTGGGAGTGCCAACGTGTAAAATACAAACAGATGTTTTACTTCTATCTCAGTCCTCAGAGATCGGCAAAATAAAATCTAAAGAAACCTCTGCTAAAACCCAGTTAATATAAAATAATGTAAAATGTGCAACTTTCTTCCCCCTTTTAGGGGAACACATCAAGGGTATCCTCTTTGCTGGAACTGCTGGTGGGAATGTTTGAAAATTAAGATTATGGCAGAAAGTTTTAGTTCAGATAAAATCACTAACTGGGTGTACCATTGCTGAAAAACCTGAAATAATTCTGTTAACTATTGGCAGGATCAAACCATTCCAACCACTAGCACAGACCTTATAGCCCTGCTTTTATCAGCTGCAAAAACCCTGATAGCTCCAAAATGGAAAAACAAAGATCCCCTATCAGCCAATGGTATAATAAAATCTGGGATCATTTTATGATGGATAAAATTTCAGACTATATTTCAAAATCAGAAGCTCATATGGGTCATTCCAACTTTGTAGAACGTTAGTTTCCTATACTAAATAAAATAGTACATAATGCTACCAGTAGTAAATCTTTTAAGTAACACTGTTATTATAAGTTGATGGCTTATTTTCAGTTGTAACTTTTCTCCAATAGAAAGAAGCACTCCAACATTCCAGGAACAACAAGATGCTTGGATTGTACTTTTTTGTAATCTGTTAGCCGAATTGCTTTATTTACAGCAACTGGCAATTTATAAATGGGTCCTTGCCAACTATACCAAGGTCCTGTTCCCACCAAGGGTTGCCAGAGAAGGATTCGAGGCTGTTGTAGTTAAAATGTCTTTTACTTAAAGAATAATTCTCAAACAATACTGATGCACTCACACATTCAATCAATGTTAAAATAAGCACAATTGCATTAGCAGGTGGGGGTGATGATAGGTAATACTTATCTGTCTTGCAGTTCTGGTTGTTCCAATGAAGAATGGATGGGGAGAAATGTCCAACCTCTGGACCCATCTACCCGTTAGTCCGTCCCAAAAACAATCCTATTGGTTGCATGTAGGGAGGGGTGGTGACCTATAAGGAGTGGCCAATATTGTAATCTAATACCTTGCTCAAAGAAGGGCATCTGGGCAGGTGTGAAAACCTTGGCGTCAGGATGCTCCATTGTAGTGTAGATGAAGCTGGCCAATCTCATTGTAAACCGAATGTCCATTTGGCAGGAAATACCAATGCAGGAACAAAGCAGTGATGTGTCGTACGTCACCACAAATAATTCTGCAATGGGGGCTGTCTCTTCTCAAGCTGTTGTTTCTTACTGCTCACAATAATGGAGGTGTGTGCTTCTTCACCAGGCTGGTAACTGTGTAGCTAAAACCTTATTCTGTTACATCACAACAGGTGACTTAAAGTGTATAGTTCTCTTAGCCTATGTGTGTGTGTGTGTGCACAGTCCATTGTGTGTAGTAACAAATATAGTCCATAAAGCAAATATCAAGTTCATTCTCTAACAAATCTTTCTAACTGAATGAAACAAAATTTTGAATCCATCACTTGTTATGGTATTCTTCTGTGTATAATTTCATATTCCTATCTTATTATATCAAATTGTTAACTGTTACCTCTGTTATTTGTTGTTAGACATTCAAAATTCCCTTTTTGTTGTTATTTAAGTTTATGTTAATGTTACTTTTTAAAAAATTGAAAAATAATTAAAAAAATTAATATGTGCACCTTTCCAAGGATCAGTCAGTCTCATGAAGGATGAACGGTGGTGAGGGCAATGCTAAAGTCTTCTGCAGCTTGTCAGCTTTGGGGCAGAAGCAAGCTAAGCCAATTTGCTTGTCTGACACTTATTACATGGGTGTGAGAGGTTTCTGAAGATTCCTGGAAAACTCCCACAGATCACCTCTTAGTATTAGTCTTTGTACAGGAGACCTAAGCAGCATGATGGGAAATATGAGAACAGAGGAGAAGCACTAAAATATTTTAATGGCTTGTGTTTGAATATTGCAAGGAGCCTTGAGCAGGACTCTGGAGAGGCGGCATAGAAATATTCTAAAGAGATAAAAAGAACAAAGGCAACATCTGGGGGGTCAAAGCCTGGTGTAACCTGCAACAGAAGGAAGCCTGCTCTTGCAGATTTCCACTTAATAAGGGCAAACAAAATCACTATGTTTTGATCTTGTGCACCCGGCACATTTGTGTATGTGGCTCCTCACCCAGGCAGAGAAGCGTACATGGAAGGCTGCTTCTGTACCTGCATGCTCAGGGCTGAGGCAGAGTGCTTTGTTAGAGAGAGGAAGGGGAAGAAGCCCGCCTTTCAAAGTGCAGCTACACATCCTCTCTTCAGATGAAGCCTTTTCATCTTCTTTAATCTGGCTGTGTGGCATTCGATTTTAAGGTGGATACTCTAAAAGACTAAGCAAGGGACACCCCGAGCCCACCTCTTCTTTTGTAATTTAAGAAATGATGTTGTGCTACCTTAAAACTGAAGTGCTTACAATTTAGACAACTTTATTTGCATCACTTACAACATACAAAATAAATAAGGACGGTAATGGATTCGTAAGAGTCCTACGTTCAAACCTACTTAAAAACCTCTTGTGGAGGAATGATGGAAACCCCCAGGGGCTGCTGCATTATAGTAGTTTGTCACAATGACACAGTGGCATATAGACGAAAATCCCCCCTTTTCAGCATTCACTGCACCTAATTCAAGGAAGTGTCAGGAATCGTTAGCTTGCTTAAAACCAACTGCATGAACTCTCCAAAGAAATTCTGCTATTTTGTTGCCGTTATTTTAAACAGGTGAAAAGTGAAAGATTTACTTTACATGCTAACAAGCAGCCTATGCCACTGAATCGAACCACTGAGGTCAACTGTGTTTGCTGCAGCATTGAAGGAACGTGATACTAATGTAGCTTTCAACATTCGAAGGGCATTAGCTGAAGAGCATCTTGAGTTTCTGCTGGAAAGCGTGAAGCAAAGACAGGCCGAGGACACGTTTCCATTGTACTTTGCCTTTTGCTCCATTGCCATTTGCAGTCTGAATCATTCAGGGAGTACAAAATCGATGCTATACTAATAAGCCATTCACACTTCCAAAACAGTAACAATGGGATCCTTAAATGATTAGGTTGTTGCAGCAGGACCATAATTCCAGCTCAGAAGTCTTTTATTAAAAACAGCAAACTTCAAGTAGTTGAGGCTCAGCCACATTTAGGACTTGGGTTTCCCCATCTTTGTTACATGCCATGTTCTGTTCTTATTGCTGTCTATAATGGAAACTGGCAAATGAAAGAATTTTCTTCAAAAATGCCGCAGTCATTCTGCAAGTCATTCCTCATCTGTTCATAATGCATAACAGTAATTAGTATATTGTCATTACATATTAGACTACCAAGGACACATGTACAGCAAAGTATACAAAACAATATTACCACAGTGGAAAAAGACACACCCTAATTCAGGATACCACACGTGGTCTAATACACACATGGATCTCCTGTGTACAAAGTCTTAGTTCCATTTAATGGAGGGAGGATATTCTGTATACAAAGAAACGTGTTTCAGAAATGAAGCAAACTATTGTGGAGGGGGGGGGGGAGATCCATTTTTGCTGTAGACTTCCAGTCAAAAAAGGCTGCTGGGCAGAGATGGTGAAATCAACATGGCACTAAACTTAATTCATTTAGTGAAGAACACACTCAAGAGCCTACTACTATATTGTGACACTGTGAGAAGATTTTCAACTTTATCATTCTTCTCTAAATAAGATTAACCCTTACTTCACTTACCGAGTAGTTTTTCTATCCTAACCTGCCTCGTTTATGCCTTTAACAGTTATGGCTTTCTGCTGAGAAGATTTCAAAGACTGTGTTGGAACTTTAAAAAAACAACAAAAATGATGCGGCTAGATTACTTCCAGATACATAAAATTTGTCATTTAACATTAACATGATCATAAATTGTAAAAAAAAATACATAAAAGCAACATTAAAATCCTGAACACAGCTATACCCTTCTAAACTCTAAAGTCAAAGGGCTTAGAAGTGTGTGACTCTGTTTAAGTGCCCTGTAAGACAATTTTTAAAATGCAGGCTTTACTCTGAAGACAAGGGATAAGGTTAACAACAGGTTTTCTAATCTGTGTGGTTTCTGCCTCTGTATTTTCTAAATTCTGTTGGAGTTAGAAAGCTTCAAGTTACATACGGCATTATAGGCTATATAAATTAGAGGGATGAAAGCACAAATCTAACACACTTAGAAGCACACACAAATAGATGGCGGTTTAAGACTTTTGATCTCCACCTGGCTCTGCATTACACAGTCTGCAAATCCATATCTGACTTCAACAAATGTGGATGAGCAAAAAAGATCAGAATGAGGTTAACAATGCCGTTACTTCAGTTCAAGTTTTGTCTAGAACAAATATTCTAGCTGAATGGATGAGTGTACTGCAAAGTTCATGGCACATTAAACGCTCAGATTTCACAAGCTGTTGATTGAACAACATTTTAGAGGTATGATTCAAATAATCGTTGACAACTGAAAGAATCCAAACATGTTTGTTCTTGTTTAAAATCACTGATTATTTCTTGAAACCCACATTTCTGAGAAGAAAAAAATTAAAATCAATATACTGAAAGCATGTTTCAAGATACAATGCAAGAACTTTCTTTTCTTCATATTCTTACTCAAACCCCATGCTAGCCCATAATACAATCAAAACTATTCCTTCATAACAGAGTGTGGTATATTTTTTTATTCTCTTGGCTGTACAAGTGCTAGCAGGCACAGCTACGCCCAGGAAATAGGTGGCAGACAACCAGGCAAGGAGGTCAGAGGGCACAAAAGCACACTGGCACTCAGCGCAAGACCTTGCACAGTACTGATCTCCAATTCAGACTCTTTGAAAAATACCCAGTGCACTCTGACATTTAGCATTTAAGCTATTCTTCCTCCCTGGCACTATGCAAACTAGAATGTTAAATAAGGCCTTCAACGTGAACTCCTGATCTATTTACTTACTTTTCGGTTCGATCTACTGCTCCTGAAAGCGCCCTCTCTGGAGAGTGTGAAGGAGATCTCAGGGTCGAACTATGTGGGGATACGACAGTTGCAGAAGAGACACTGAGGCCATACCGCCGCATCTCTTGAATGGAACGTTCCCTATCAGACAGAAAAGTGGATGTGTACATTACTGGAATCTGCGAAGATCTCTACCCATCTTCCCATACCGAAAAGCAGGTCGCCACTATGCCTGCCCAAGTCATAGGCTGCTACCCACCATACTTTTTAAGGTTGCATTTCTTTACAAAAGGAAAAGGGAAGAGTAAGGAAGTTTGGAACAAAATAGTTGTGGTTCTTTTCCTGTCCCCTCCTCTTTCTGGCAATGAATTCACTGTCTCAGACCTTCACATGTATTAACAGTGATATCCTATTAAACTAAAATAATGCAAGGAGAGGAGAAAGATGTATTGACTCCATTCAGCGATACGGTGTAAGCATAAGCACCCCAAACCATTAACAGCATTAACCCTGCCCAGAATGTGCTCTTGGTATTGACAGGAATAGGGAACCCCAAACATCTAATAGATTCATGTGCTCAAATGCATCCACAAACCACTTGTGCCTCATCAAATACAGTTCCAATACTATATTAAACAAAGTGGTAAGTCCCCCCTCCCCCAATTCATGGAAGATGACCCAGCTAGCATCAAACACCACTGGGATGGCAATGGAAGAAGGTTAAATGGTGGGGCTTTAAAAGAGTTTATCACTGGTCTGATCATACTCCACACATTTGTTTTCTAACTAAATATTTTAAATCTATCTTTCCAATTTTCATTAAGAAGCACGCAAAGAGAGCTGAGCGGGGTGTGTGTGTGTGTGTGTGTGTGGGGACCAAGATGAATCAACCTGTACAGGTCCCTCTCAACATTTTATGTCTTTTGAGAGCTAAAACCCCTCCACCTGTCTGCCCAGGACCGGTTCCCAGCCCTGTCTTCTGCCTTCTCCTCGGATCTGTTCTCTCCTTGGCCTCGCCTCCTCCTTGCTCTCCTACACTTTCTTTTGCGTTGGCTTCCTCTCTCCTTTTATCCTGGGCTCCTTCACTTCAGTTCCTATTGACCCTCACCCAGGTGAATGCAGGAAATGAAGCAGGCATGGTCATCCTAACATACAGAAATGACATCGTAATGCCATGCCTGCTACCACTTCTCCTGAGTGAGTGGCTCCTGCTGATTTCAGCCAGATGGCCCCCAGTTTGGTGCAGTGGTTAAGTTTGGTGCAGTGGTTAAGTGCGCGGACTCTAATCTGGGAGAACCGGGTTTGATTCCCCACTCCTCCACTTGCACCTGCTGATGTGACCTTGGGTCAGTCACAAGCTCTGGCACAGCTGTCCTTGAAAAAGAGCAGTTTGTGTCAGAGTTCTCTCAGCCCCACCCACCTCACAGGGTGTCTGTTGTGGGGAGGGGAAGGGAAAGGAGTTTGTAAACCGCTCTGAGACTCCAAGTGAAGGGCGGGGTATAAATCCAATCTCTTCTTCTTCTTCTTCTTTATTCTACCAAAGGGAAGTCTCTGTTCATGTGTACACACTGTAGAGCTTCCTTTTCAAATCATCAGCCATCCCCCCACCCCTTCAATGGTTGTAGAAATACACCATGTTACAGATATGATCAGAAATACTGGGGAACCAGGAAGATAACAAGAGATGTTGTGGCACACATAAACAGAACAAACCTGGCCTATCAGGAAAGCATGACAAGAAAGGAGTCTATGGACTCAGAATAGAAAAGCCTTAAGGGTCAGAAAGAAGATGACAGAGTGGCAATTATTTTATAGCCTGGTCTTACCCATTACCATCTAACCCATTATCAATAGATACAATTTGTTTAGGCCCAGGTGCAGAAATGTCGGAGGACTGTAAGAATGTCCAACTTCACAGAAGCAAAGATATGATTCAAGGATGGGAGTATTGGTTGAGGGCCAAAATATATTCATAGGTATGAGAAGCATTTTAAATAGACATTAAGATAAAACTAGCAAGAACTTTCTCTCATATATATGTTGTATTAATCAAGAGCTTCTTCTCAGTTAATAACGAAGATTATGGATTGTGCCGAAATGGACAAATTGACAAATAGATTAAAAGGAGAAACGGAAGAAGAATTTATGGGACCATGGAGGGCCTTTCGTGACTGGTTAAGACACAAGTACTGAGAAACTAAGATTAAATGAAGAACAATAAGAATGAGGGTTATAAGCTTTTATGAGAAGATTTGCATGCAGAATGTTAAATTAGACTTTTTTTTTTACAGATTTCTGTATCTTTTCCTTTCCCTTCTTTCCCTCTTTTTATGTATAAACTAATATAATTCTTTATAAAAAAAGAGCTTCTTCTCAGAAGGGGCTCCCTGCCCGTGACTTACTTACTTTTGGGGTAAGAAACTCTTATGGTCTCATGTGATTGCTCTCTTACTATGATGGATGCTTTGCCGATTTGTTCTGAGAATGCAATAATTGCACTTTAACAGAACAAACATAGAATCTAAGCAGAGACACTCTAATAGTACTTGTGTACTATGCCCAGAATGAACCTATAGTGTTTCTGAGGTGTACCTCTAGCTAGGAATTAAATGATCTGGTACAGAAAAGCTAACAGGAAGTCTAGGTGTACTGGCTTGCAGGTTCTGAGTATCAGGTGCCAGGAGTCAGGCAAAGCAGAGATGTTCAGTCCAAGGTCGGGGGTCCGGAAGTCAGGCAAAGCAGAGTTGGTGGCTTACACCTGACAGCCTCTCTTGGCTAGTTTTATAGCCCCATGCCTAAGGGCCACGCTTGCAACCAGTTGCTCAGAAGCAATCCTGCAACTACTCATCTTTGTTATCAGCAATCAGCTGGTGTTGGGCCAGGAGGTGTGCACTTTGCCATCTTGTCTGTAGCTCTGTTCTCAGTCTCCATCTGCAGCACTTTAAGGGTGTAGGCACTACTGGTGAGCTGGGAATGGCCAACTGAGGTTCACCAGCTGAATCAGGACTGGAGGGTGTTGGTAGCTCTGCACCAGCTGTTGGCGGTGAATCCTAAGAAGCCTGCAGCTCATTTTCCTGCTAGTCAGCTTTTGTTAATTCAAGGCTGGCTACACTGGGCTCCTCCTGAAGAGTACATATTATCGCTGAGACCTGGTTGACTCATGACACTAGAGTTTCTTCAAGGTACGCCTATATTGAATCACACCTGACCAGAATCATTCAGAACAATGCAGCTGCCCGAATGCTGTTAGACAGCAGGTACATATACAGACTACTCTGCCCATGGCACTGATTACCAGTTTGATTTTGGCTTCAGTTCCAGGATGCCTGTTTTATCTTCTAAAGCCCTTAATCGTCTGGGACCCACACAGGTGTAGGGCAGTTGATCCCCATATGTGCCCACTTAGATGGGGAAGGCAAGGCCTGTTCATGGTTCTATTGATCTTCCAGTTAGGGCAAGAACTGGGGCATTTTTTTTAAATGGCCAACCCTTCATTCTGGAATCACTTCCCTGACACAGTATGGAAAGTCACATCCATTCTCTTTCCACAAAGCCTGTATAAATGTTGATTCAACTGGGGCTGGAATCAGATGCTTTTATAGTTTGATGTAAATAGGTGCATGGTAATATTTTATGGTTATTGATTGATTGCTTTTACCCCATTTCTGATGGATTCGACAAGTTTACTATTAAACACACTTCCAGTGTGGGAAACAAATTGAATCAACAAAATAATATCTCAGAACCTTAAAGAATTATTGCTGGTTAAAGAGAATATTTCCTGAGTTATATTTTTAATGTAATTGTAAATTTCTATTTAACAGTGTAGAAGACACGGTACAGTCCTTAAAATATATGGATCCAAGCTCATGGCACATCTAACATGCAAATCAGCTTACCGTTCAAATCGTTCTGTTGTCAGCTGCCGTTTTTGAATATCATAATCAGTCTGCAGCTGTGCAAGTTTATTTTGGAGTAGAGAAGTTTCTCTATTAAGACTTGTTCTAAAAATATTGTAGACAAACAAAGGTCTTAACAATTGCACATCTTACAGATGGTGTTTTACAGAAGACTAAAAATACCACAAGCACGGCAAACACATAAACAAGAATCAGTTAATACAGGAATGTGTGCACATCCCCCCCCCTTTCCCCCAGGGCTCTGCTCTGCAGAATAAGAGCCATACTTCTGAACTGCAACACAATGTTAAGGGAAAATGCTTTCAAAGGGGCAGCACAGTTAAGGTTTGCATACTTAGAAATTCAGCAACTATAACTGAGACCCAAGACCAGATCATATGTTGTCTGCTGCTGAATTCCTTCTTCTATGAGCATCACCTTTGGCCTTCCATGTTCCCACAATTACATGGGGATGTTCCTGTGTGAACTCAAAATACTTGGCTATGTGGGACTGCAGTGAGTAGCTCAGTTAAATGGGAGGGTATTTGAACTGCCTGTATACGTGAGCCAGCCTTACAGTAGCACTGCATGTTCTTTTAGTGGACTACAGCCAGTATTTGATTTTTTCCTGAATGGTGTTCCAGGCTGCACAAAAGGAAGTGCCACATCCTCGCCATTATTAAAGAAACACATAAAACCATCCTTACTAATAAGTGCTCCCTCATGGATCACTGCCTTGTCGTGGCGTGGGGGCTTGTGTGGTTCGTTGAGGCTGTGGGCTGTGCCATGGAGGGCCACCCAGGACCGACAGGCCACAGCAGAGAACTCAGACCAAGTGTGATCCACTGGAGAAGGAAATGGCAACCCACTCCAGTATCTTTGCCAAGAAAACCCCATGGACAGTAACAAAAGGCTAAAAGATATGACACCAGAAGATGAGCCTCTCAGGTCGGAAGGTGTCCAATATGCTACTGGGAAAGAGCAGAGGGCAAGTACAAGTAACCCCAGAAAGAATGAAGCGGCTGGGCCAAAGCCGAAAGGACGCTCAGTTGTGGATGTGTCTGATGGTGAAAGGAAAGTCCGATGCTGCAAAGAACAATACTGCATAGGAATCTGGAATGTAAGATCTATGAATCAAGGTAAGCTTGACGTGGTCAAAAATGAGATGGCAAGACTGAGCATCGATATCTTAGGTGCGACTTAGATATCGACTGTGCGACTGAACAACAACAACTAGTAAGTGACTGTGTTTAATCTTGAGATAAAAGTTTAAGATGACCAGGACTGAAAGTTCTTGGGCAGGACACCCTCAAATCTAATAGGCAACTGCTGAGTCCCCATCCCCCATCCCACCCATGCAGTTAAAGAAACTCAGAGAAAGGGGGCAGGTCAAAGCAACAATGTAGAATTCTGCAAACTCAAGGAAATCCCAAATTTGCATTAAAATACAATTTGTTTCAAAAAGCAAATGGAGCAAA